ATATATTAAATACATTTCAGACTTTTGAAGAAAATAAAATTATAACTCAATTCCAACCCTTTTTATAATACTTTCCGAAAAAGATGTAATCAAATTCTTAGTCGATGTTCTAAATGGTTTCACATAACTTATAAAAATGGTATTATTCATAAAAATCTTACATAACCTAGACCTATAACCTGGCTAATTTTGTCTTTGCTAAAAACTCCACTTTACATGAGTCATCAAATTGTTGATCAAAAACAGTATAACTCTAAAACTGATTTATAGAGCATAGGATTCATTTTTTATTAAGCCTTATTTGGAGAGAGCAAGTATATACACAATATCTAAAAGCACCAATCATTTTAGGGTAAGATATTGATATAATTTAATATATATGCATATTATTTAGTGCACTAATCTATTTAAATATATCTTTTATTATATATTTATTTTAATGTCCTCATAAATGCTAACATTTTGGCAATTCTAAACAGGCTATCATTTAATAAGGTGAATTCATCCTAAAAAGTTAAAATATAGACAATCCTCTATATTTTTATAGTAATTAGAATATTGTCAAATTAGAATAAAGAGTGTCTGTATTTCAAAGATCTTTGTCTTGAAGGAGAATTGGGCTATTAATAATGATACAACTAGATTACTATAGAGTAATAGAAATTGTAAATGATATTATAATTAAAATTGGTTTTGATAAAAAAGGTCTAAAATGTAATTATTGTTTTGTAAGTAAATTTATTCTAGAGTGTCGATTCTCAAAAATGGTGCTTATTTTAATAATATAAATATAATAACTAGTGTGACAAAAATGATGATTTGACAACAATAGCAAGTGTAATAATAAATTATTTATTTTTATTTCACTATAAACTTAAGGGAGAAAAAGTATGTAGATACTATTATTGTATTGAGGTTGAATCTTCAAATAAAACTCATACAACATGTAATATTAGGGAAGTTTGTTGGAAGTCAACTGGTGCTAGGTGAATAGAGTTAATTCAATAATGTAGTAATTACTAATGAATTTCAGAAACATGTCCAAAGATGAGAGGATTAGAGGGAAATTGTGAATTTAATCTTGAAGGTAATAATTGTAGATCTTGTAATCACAGGTGCTGATACTATATTTAATACTGCTTAAGGATTGTGCTACATATAATATAGTGGAAAATAAAAAAGTAGATGTGTAAAATAGAGGGGATGTGTATTATGTGATGGAAAAAATAATTTATGGATGGAATTCAATCAGTGTATCTAATACTAGTTGTGGATCATTATTATAAATGTATAAATGCAACTGAAACATAAACTTGTAAATTAAACTCCATGTTAAGCAATTAATCCAACTAAATGTTGATATGATGCAGGTGTAGGCTCAACAAAATGTTCTAATATAGCTACTTGTGAAGAAGTCATTTCAACTGCCAATTCTGCAGAATGTAATAAAATATTAGATGATGAAAAATGTTAATATTCAATCAATGAATGTATTATTTCAAAAACAACATGTGCTTGTTATTCAATTACTAGAATTAATTCAGGTTAATGTAGGAACAGAAATTGTAAATTCTATAAAGAAGCTTCTTATGCAAGAGTTGAATGTAACTTATATAATTCCTTCTACAATAACACATGCTGATGAAAAATAATACTTTGTTAGAAGATATATGCTGACTAGTTGATGAATACTATTCTGATAACCCATTTACTAAGGAGTAATGCATGAAGTTGTATGGCTGGAAATACTGATTGTGGGGAATATTATATATAGTAAATATTTACGATAATGATGATGAGGGACTTGCTTGTGCCTCTTTTTCAGGTAGAACTATTTTTTTAATCCAGCTGACAATGTAGCTTCATGCACAGTAATAACAACCGGCATTGTACGGATTGTGATTTAAAAACAATATTGAAATAATAATCTTAAAAACTCTCTAGATGTACTTTTATTAAAGAAGGAAGTACAAAAAATCGTTAACCAATAGTAAGTTGCTTTCCTATTATTCTTAATTTTATTACTGATAAAGGAGATAAATTATCAGCATGTTAATGTGCAATATTCACTACTGGTGAATGTACATACTTCTTAGGAAATACTTACATTATTGTAGGTGCTTGCAATTCATATACTGTAAGAACTACAGAAACTATAGTAAGTGATTGTTTAAATAAAATAGAATTAATTATTGGATGATTTAGTTTCAGTATTGGTTATTGCAAATTCATTGTTTAATAGTCTAAAAGATACTAATGATGACTATTGCACAGTTGATGATGATATGAATGCAAATTGTAAATAAAGAGAATGCAATTCTAATGCAAAAGCTAGTTTTTTTACTCATGAAAATTGTAAATCATATTTATTTTATATAAATCAAACATTCAAGGCCATATCGCCAAAACATCAACCCGCGTATAATAAAGCGGATATTTTATTTATTTTGATTGGACATTAAATATTAATAACAAGTCAAGTTGTGCCAAAAGAACTCTTGCTACCACTAATGCCTCCTGTACAAACTAATCTTTGATTTGAATGAAACTGCAATTACGGATTCAAAGTGCTAATCATTCAAACCTGATTTTTGAATAAAGGTAAAAGGTTATATTCATAAAACTGAGGGATGTTCCTCTTATTATAGTATAAAAGAAAAATAAGAGTAATATTATAAGTAACAAAGTTTACAGAAATAGATAATGTATAACAACTCTGAAAATTTCATATCGGGATGCTTATACAACCAAGTGAGATGTGTTTCTAGGAGGCTGCTTATTTTGCATATTAGGGAATATAAATTTTTTTTCAGGATTTAAGGGAAACAATAGAATCCAATATTATTGGAAACCTGTGAAACAGTTGTTAGATATTGTTAGGATACTAACAATTCATAGCTAGTGAAGATCAATGCAGAGCACATGCTGTTTCAGCATTTCCTTTTGATTATAGTCTTAAAGTTTGTTATGAAAATCATAACAAATTTACAAGACAGATCAATAATTTTCAGATTATAATCCAACTTGTAAAATACCAAGTAGAGAATGCAAGAATAGTGTTGGATATGGAGATTACACTTCTCCATGCAGTTCATTAACTACATATGGTCAAACTATTAGTGTTGATACACCAACCAGCCTTTGCAAAGATTTCACATTTGCAGATTATAATGGATATACTACAATTCATAAAGATTTTAAAGATAAAGATCGAACTTTTGCTACCAGTGGAGCTGGTTTTATTACCAAAGAAACTCGCTCATCATGTAATTCCCAATCTGTTTGAAAAGCTACTAATAAAACTGAAAAATCAATAAGATATTTTAGAATTCTATAGCCGCTGCTTTTAGTTAAAGATACTGCACATATGCAACATTAATTTCAAATGATGTATACAACATTTGACTTGCTGGATGCATTTAGTACAATCCCTGAACTTTGCTGAAAGAAAAGTGTAGGAAATCCATGTTTATGTTTTAATGGAATTTGTTATGGATAATGA